GTAGACTAGGTCACGAAAAACAGATTCTGTGACTTTATTGCAAATCAAAATGGCCTTTCCGGGGAATGCACCGCCGCCTGCCTCCTCGTCTATAAGTGGAAGCCTTCCGGCTATCCTTTCTCCCCTCGCACCCCTCAGAAGCACTCCCCCCTCAACCACGGTCATCTGGATCCCATGGCTCGAGCAAGACGCAAGCGGAAAACGGAGCAGCTTCCCCCAGAACACTACGAGAACTTGGCGAAAAAACCGAAAGGAGAGAAGACTCCGCGCGGAAACCATGCCGGATCCACCCAACAGAGTGTAACGGCTGCTCTCAAAAAGTGGCAGAGGTGAGGGCATCGCCTCACTGTTAGTTGACGAACGGGCGGCTAACTGAGAAGCTACTCTAATGGAATGAATAAGGACCCCGATGAGCTCATGGGAGCTTGCCAACCGGAATGGTTCAAAAATTACCTGGAGTGGTTGCTGGACAACGGACAAATTTCGAAGCGGAGCACTCTTCAGACGCACTGGAGGTTCCTCAGACTGGGCTACGTACGCAAGTACGGCAAGATGAATGCCGATGTCTCCCTTGAGTTAACTACAGTGAGGAATCTCTTTGGAGCGCACTATCTGTATATGCTGAAATGGGTCCGAATTACTAGTATCTGGATGGGCCCTTGACCCAAAGACACGGCCTAGATAAGTCGCCGAAACCGCGACCGGTTATGGATGTCAACTATCTGTTTTCTCTACTTCATTATCACTGGACTTGCGATACCGAGATATTTCCTCATGAGAGGTATCGAGTGCAGCTTCCCTTGCTAATTCTCCTAACAGCATACACATCATCGCGGCCCGGCACACTGGTTGAGTGTGGATTGTATGCAGGCACGAACGAAGGTCTGCACTATCGAGACATCCGGCTTTCGCTGCTTCGCAATCCAGTATTGAAAGACGGTGATGTGCTTGTGTTGGAGGTTACATGTCGCTTTATTAAGGGTGAACGTAATGGGAAGCCGTACGTCCTTTGCCTCTGGATCGGCTGAGTACGTTTAGCTGACGAGTTCGCATGGGCAGGAAGACATACGTCATGCATGAACGAGACGACAACCCAGTGCTGTGTCCAATCCTACATTTTCTGTCCCTGGCATTCGCGGACAATGCCTTTCGTGCGCCAGATCTCACGCCGGAGAACTTTTTCTCCGTCTTTGTCCCTCCGCAACGCAACTCCATCGAATTTCAATGGAAAGAGTCGATTTTGAACACCCCAGTGTTCCGGCGCACCGAACATACTGTGAACGGGACCGGCATCTCTCCGTATAGATGCTTGTCGGATAAGGTGTTCCGCGATCAGCTCCGGCGTTTGGGTTTATCTGCCGGGTTCAAGGATATTCTCACCCCGTACGCGATTCGGCGGGGTACCGGCAACGCAGTGGACAGTGAGTCTGCACCCCTTTCCTCTGTAATATGTGTTCTAACGTTCTATAACTCAGGCGTGGCTACATCAGCAGAACGTAACCAGGTTATGGGTCATTCACGCGATGATATATTCCTTCGACATTACATATCGCAGACGGTCAAGGTCGATGTTCAGTCAGCATTCCTTGGATGCCCTTCGAGACAGGAGCTATTGAAGACTGCGGGAAAGCTAAGCAGATGGCGAGATTCGCGAGCTCCGATGAAACTCACCTCCGAGGAGAGGAAATCCATTTGTGCTCATCCGGAAGTTCAAAGGCTGCGTAAGCTGCGGAACGCGAAGACAGCGGAAATACGGAAGTTGCACGGCACAGTCAAAGCAGCTAAAGGCACTGCCATTCATGAAGAGTATACGAAGCTGCAACGAGCCCTCGCAGTCGAGATCATGAACCAACATGAACTTAGGCTCCAAGAGGCCAGGGACGAGTTCTTCCAGAACATCAGCGGACACGAGATACAATTACAGATCTCTACCGATAAGACAGTACCCTCCGATATGGATTTGACTACAACCATTGAATACGAGCTTGAAGAAAGGGGGCAGCTTGCACGGTTACTTTTTGAACCGATTCCTGTTTATAAGGCCGCAAAGATACGCGCGGACGTGCGTCGGACTCTGGTAGAAAACATTACCAAGCTGTGCAACTTAAGAGAATCGAGGTGCGCTGATGGTACCGATGATTCCGCGCTGGATTTGTCCGTGGACCATGCCAAAGTCGAAGAGAAGGAGGATTGCATCCACATTGAATCATATCCTACCACTCTACCGGCAACTCAGTGTCTCTTTTGTCTGGCTGATGAATCGCTTTCGCTGTCAGCCAGAACGTATTCCTTCTCGCGCCCCGATTCTCTCAAACGGCATGTTCAGCGAAATCATTTCAAATGCATGGATGCCAACCAAAGCTTCTATTGTCCCCATCCGACGTGCTCACAAAAGCTGAATCATCGCATGCACTTTCTGAATCATGCTGCGCAAGTGCACAACGTATTCATGTAGCTGGTAAGTGGATTATGTGTGGAAGGAAAGCAAGGATAATATCGCTGACAGTATTGGCAGATTCTTGCGGAATTTGGTGAGAATTAACGTCTGTACATAGCAATATAAGATTAGCTGGCAGGGAAGCGGTGTGTGAACGGTGGTTTGATTGATCAACTGGTCATCTGGCAATAGTTTTAACGTTATTCTGGTCAAGTGAATAGCGTCCTTTTTTTTTTTTTTAGACTGCTGGGTATTATGGTTTTACTGCGACATCGACGCGGCGTTCAGTCTGTTTTTGCTGTGTCAAGCGTCTCACTCCGCCAAAACGCTTCGTAACTATTCGCCAGACTCTCCTCTAAGCAGGTGTGCAAATGGTGCGATATCTATTCAATTCAATCCGAGAGATAACTTGCGTCAACGCAACCCCTCCATTACCCGGCATTCACAGCCTCTTCACAACTCGTAACCGGTGTTACTTAAAGAGCGTTCATTTGATCGTCCCTTGGTGCTGGTAATGCAATCGAGCACCAGATGTCGTTCAACCTTTGTCGTGATCTTGAGTAGCCCATTTAACGTATGCGCTCAGCTCGCATTGAACCAGATGCACCCAGAGGAACACTCCTTGATTATGCTGACGGATATATTCGGCGACGAAGTCAGAAACCTCCTTTCCAAAATCGAACCGAGTTAAGAACGCGTCCGTGAAACTCTGTATATCGGACCTATTCATGTCTTGCATGTACATAACTGAGTGAGTCTCCAGGATTAAGTGTTCGAGTGCCACAACTGGTCGGCTTGCGAAAAACACTTTCAGAGTGCAGCTTCTTGCAGAACATAATTCAAACAGCAGCTTGAGGATGAGCAGCTTGAGGTGGAAATTTAATCCTCTGAAAAGTGGTGGTTTGTATGGAAAAGCGGGGGGTGGCCGGAGTCTTTTGGCAACAACCTCGTACATCTGGCGCCTGACACCCGCTTCGCACGTCTCCCAAATATTTCTGCGATGGAGGCAATTGATTGTAGTTGGCTATTCCACCTCTACCTAATTAGTCAGTTCCACTCCAGTTGCATCGGGCGTGGGAGGACATGGCGGGGGTTACAGTCACTTCCTGAAGTTCCTAGATGAGGAAATGCCCATCGCATCCTGGATCCATGTGCCTCTCAACAACGATCAGCACTCGATACTGCTACACAGGTTTGTAATTATTACTACCCCCGTGATCAACCATCCTGCGGAGAGTAGGATGGAAGTTATCACAATACCGATCTATCAGTTTCTGCGGCATTCTTTCCCATTCGTCCACCAGAGCCCGTCCCACAGCTTCTGCCACTTCTTTGCATGTCTTCATACCTCTAAACCTTCGCCTAGCTATCTTATTCTTAAGATACCACCAAGCTGGCTCGACCATGTTGAAATCAGGGGAGTTTGGTGGCCATTTTTCAACACGATGAATCCCTGTGGCCTCAGCGTTCTCCTTATCATACCGTGCTGCCTTTAAATGACTTCCCGCATTATCCTCCACCAACCAATAGAAGTCGCCATTGGACTGCAGACGCTCAATAAAGGGATAGAGCCGGGAGTGTAAAACCTCGTGCATATAGAGGTACCAGTCCATCCCTCCGCCGGGACTCCGTGTGGGGGGTTCCTCTTTGAACTCCCATTCCGGACGACGAGGCATCTTTCTCGGTTCTCCTGGCTTCCGTGTCCGGTTGTATTCAGCAATGTCCCTGTTGAGCCCGGCGAGATATTCGTACTCTTCAGTGCCTGGTATACGTGCTTGCGCTTGCTGAAATGCTATCCACTCCTGTCGTACTCGATTTTCCTCTTCAAGCTCACGAAGCTTCTTCTGCCGCTCCTCTTTACTCTCTTGAACATAAACCCACAACGGTCCCTTGTGACCCTTGCAAATCGACCCCGATACCGTCACCGTTTTGCTGGGTCCCTTCCTCCGTCCCCGCACCTCTCCAATCACAATGCTCATCTCGTCCGAAAACACAAACTTATTGGCTTGTTGTGTAAGGGCCCATTTACCAAATGATAATCGCTTCCGCCTATCTTCAGCATCAATCTTTAACTTTATACGCGGCCAGTGAGGTTTCGAACGAGCCTTGTGCGCCTTTTTATTGGCTGTAGAGTCCTCGCGTCAGTTACTGTTGAAGAGATAGCGATCGCATAACAACCAACATGCGTACCACTTACCAGTCTTAAAATCAACCCTTGATGCAATCTGCCAATAGGGCTGGATGAAGCGCACTTGAAAATCTGGCGAGTTACTGATAGGCTGGTCCGTTGGCCGGTCTGGCAGTGGATGTCGAGCTCGAGCAGCAGAGAACCTGGAAATCACATCCGCAGACTCTGCCTTCACAATATCGCGTACCTCGTTGCGCGAGACCTTCAGCATCTTGCTGATCCGTTTGTATCCGTGGCCGGCTGCCTGCAGGGCAATCACGTCGCGTCGGATCTGCAGAGGTATATGAAAAACACTTTGGGGAGGCATTCGATGACTGCGCGTACGCTCAGTATGACCCGACAACTGACCTCCTGGGTAGAAGCAAGCAAACTTACCGTTTCTGATGACGCAGTAGTGGACGGTGAAGAAGAGCCAACGTCCAGCCCCGCTCATTCATATACGTTACACCAAATTTCAGCCTCCGCGGCCCAGCGCAGATTTCCGGGTGACGATGGTGCGATTGCATCAGCGATTGGAATACAGTACGAGTACCAGCCACACTTTCGGATCACTGTACATCGTAGTATTGGGATAAAGTCACTCTTCAAGCTATCTACATCTCCGCGTATTCCACTCACCTCCGTACCGCATCTCCCCACCCTCACACTTTCCGCCGCTACTCCTCTACTGGCGCAAATCTCCTTCACCAGGGCAGACGACAAGTTCTTTTTTAGGCTTTTTTTTTTTGTTAGCCTTTTTCGTGCATGTGTTGTCTCGTACGCTTACACCTGGCGCTCGCTTAGTAGCGCCGTGGAAAAAGTGGTAGTTTGGCTAACTTCCATGGGATGGAAAGCGAAGATCACCAGCATTCGCGATAATACCTCCATAACATACGGCAGCTTGTTCTCGATAACTCTCTCTGCCTCCCCCAGATTCTCGCTTCCAAACGATCCCGCTTTATCGATGGAAACCATTCTGTCCCCTAAGCTGTCGATCCTTCTGTTCAGATCGTAGAATGACCCAGCGATCCACCTAGCCTGCCTGCGCGGCTGTATCCTCTCAAACCCGTCAACATAGTCCTTCCTCCTCATATACTCCTCCCTTTCCTTAGGGTCGTCCGGTATCGTCGAGTCCTCAGTCTCATAATCCGAACTGAATCTGTTCGGTATAGGTTCCTTTTCTCCACCAACGGATTGCACCGTGGGTTCCCAAGAGTGTTCGTCCGACATCTTATTACCACCAGTCTAGCTCCTTCAACGACCGTCGCGAAGCTTACCAAGACACTACTATGTGACTTTATTTTCTATACTCCCCCCAAGAAAGATGAGCCTCTTACAAAAGATCATCTTTTGCAAGCTCTGAGATTTTCGGAGGACTTCGAGCGTGATCTGAGTGAAGGTAAGTCCAATTAACCAGTTCTATACGGCATTCTACTAACGGAAGCTTAAATGCGAGAAATGCATATCTGTGAACTTGAGCTGCTGTAACGTTGGCCTCTTTCTTCCTCCCCTTTGTGCTTTGGTATATGCTCTCTTTACTCTTGGTATTCTATGGGCAATAGTGTAGGGATCTTTGTCGGAAGGCGGGTGTTAGTCTCCGTGGTACGCGGTGGTATGCAGAAGAATGCCAAGTTCTGTTGGCTAGTTGCGATCGCTGCACATAAACACAGGTGTGATTGCAGAAAATTCTGAAAGCCGAGTTGTCAGGAGTGAACTTGAGGCACAGTTCTGTAGACTGCCGCAGTTCCCATCGGCCACTTTCCGCCGCTAAACTGATGCTGTGATCGTTCTACCTTTTCCGGCGGTCACCGCTCGACGTGAAAACTTAGGGTGACTGGGTGAGGATGCAAGCCGCCAGTTTCTTCGGCTATACCTCTTCTATCGAAATGCGATTATGTTGGTAATCAGATTAGATCTAATCAAGCTACAGTTTGTGTGACCCGTCGGCAACTGCTACCCACATATTTTTGGAATGATGCAAGCAGATGGGGTGTTCGTTGGGTAAGACGGCTTGATACTGTCTAGGTGTGAAGGAATGGAAAAGAGAGTAGTCAAAGAGAGCACTGTGAGTGACGATAAGAATGATCATGAGAAATGGAAGTCTTATATAGAGAGCCTGCTCGGCATGCTCTGGTACGAGGCTGGAACAGACATCTGCAGACATCGAAGATAGCTGGTGATTATGGATGGCGGTGTTTTCCTTATGTACTAAGTAGTTATGTTGTTTTGTGCATATAATAATGAGATCTTGTGCTAGTATACCAGCCGGAGGAGTGAGCTTGCGAGTAACAAGAAATCTGGGAACGAGAGAAAATAAGAGGTGCATGTTTTTAAGTGCTGACTGAGTTGTCCTGCATCTCTAATGCCAAGGCGGTCTCGGCGACAGGGATCCGCCGCGGAACCGTTCTCCAACGCCATGCTATACGCCATTTGTGTCACCAAAACAACCTCACCTCCCCCATCCCCCTCCCCTTCCCCCCTTCCCCGGCACTACTAACCTCACCAACGGCAGCAGCAATGGACATCCTCTCGCCGTCAAAGCGCCGACGTCTCGCCGGCCCCTCAAAGCGACCGCACAACGACCTTGGCTTCGCGTCGCGTACAATGAGCTACGCGCGAACAGACAGCGGACTCGGCCCCGATCTTCCGGAGCCCCAGAAGCAGCAGCATCAACATGTTCCCTTGGTACCATCAACGCTCCGGGTAGCTACTACTGCGCCGTCGCCGCCAACAAGAGAAGAAGACCCGCGCAGGATCACCGAAGCACTAATCCTTTCCGACCGCGCCGCAATCCGCGAAATGCAACGGGAGATCGCAAAGCTCGAGTCCGAGCAAGCGGCTCGCAGGGAAACAGAAAAAGACGATCTTATGTACCTCTCCCCCCTCCTTGTCCCCCTCGGGGCTAACAATCCAATCCTAGCGCGCGCCTTCTCTCCGCAAACGACGCATCTCTCACAGTTCCTACAATCCCGCGCTACCTCCCCACCGCGGATCCCGACATCCCATCCGCGCTTCCCCTCCCCGTGTCAGATCCTCTTCCGCAACTCCGCGCTTTCTCCTCCCTCACGTTTACCACCACCCGCGTCACCACGCTTCCCCCGGGCTTACGGCGCTCCCACGAGATCCGAGGGTTTGCGGGCGCGTATGGAGTGGGCGCGCTGGATTTTTGGATTGAAATGGTGGCGGATACGGGCGCGTTGATGGTGGAGGAGTTGCAGGCGAGAGTGAGTCATTGGGCGCGTGGGGAGCTGGGAGGGTTTGTAAATGAGTATACCCCCCACCCTGGGTTTTCCGGGGGAGTGCTGAAAAGGGGATAGGTGTATAGAAAACCGGGATCCGCAGCTCTTGCTGTATGCGATAAACTCGTACCATCCACTGTGCACGATGCGTGCAAAGGTGTTTGCGAGCCTGTGTAGTAAGTATCCCACGTTGCTACCGGCGTTTACGAAGCGCCGGTGGGCGGCGTTGATGGGGGTTGAGACGCTGTGTTTTTCGCGGAGGAGGGGGAGCGGCGGCGGGGGAGGAGGAGGGACGGAGTTTGTGCTTACGTGGAGAATCAATGTGGATGATGTTGGAGAGGCAGAGAGTCGTGTGGAGGGTGAGGTGAGGGTGCCGATTGCTTGTGAGTCCCCACCCCTGCCTGGTATGTTGATTTTGAGGAATGGAGGCTGATGAGAGTGTAGATCAGGAGGTGGATAAGGAGAATAGGCTGGGTCAGGTGGGAGCGCTGTTTGCGGATTTGCTAGAGGAGAGAGGAGTAAAGGGGGCTGTGGGATGTATGGTAGAATTATTTTTCAAAGGAGAGGAAGGCGTGCGGTAGTAGATGGGTGGGCGTTGGGTGGCGGTGTTTGGGTATATTCATCTTTTTTTTTGTTTTTTGTTTGGAGAAAGATTCATGGAGTATCACTCTTGTCACTTTTTTTTTATGGCTTTTTTGGTAGGATTTCTTCAACTTTGTACTTGATTTTTCTTTAACTACCGGGTGTAAGGGAATCAATGGCGTCGAAATTGGTCGTTTGGTGTATATGTAGATTTGGAAACTGTGGAGTTCGTTGTCAAGTTCGCGGTTTCCTTTTCCATGTCTGTGAACTTGGGAATTAGGTACCCACTGCTATAGTTTCTCACGTTGTAAAAAATTTGCAACATGGTGACTCGGCGGGAGAACGCAATGATTTGGCGGGCGAGGAGCCCAGGCCTTGGAAGAACGTTGGGAACTAACACACACATACTCTGGCAATGGTGAAGAACTTAGTGATGGTGTCAATTACTAGTACTCAGATACAAAATCACGTTCAACGGCCGTCGTGGGGCAGTATAAGCTCATGAACTAACGGTTCAGACCCGTCAATTGAGCGTACCTTTGTTCAAACTATGAATTTAACTCTCTAGCCTACACCACGCCGTCGCCGTATCGAAGCCGTATGACAGACTATTAACTCTCACATGGTTCAAGACTAATTTTTTGCAGTATATATACTGGCCCCCTCCCTTATCATCCTCCGCCTCCATCAAACTCTCTGCCCTCATACCTCAAACTCCTCCCTGACCTCAACCTCCAATATCTACAATGCAAACCCCTTCAATTACCGCCTCCGCCGAGTCACCCAAGCAAGCGGACGCAGAGCTCTTAACTCCTCCCATAAACATAGGAATGCTTATCGCCCACAAACAACTGACACCAGAAGCGCACACTCAAATTCTCGAAGGCTTCCTCATACATGGCGCCGACGTCGACTGCAAATTTGCACCCGAAGATATAAATGAAGTCTGTCGCCAAACCCGCGACAATTCCTCTCCGAGTGTGCGGTACAGGGTGACCCAACAACATACCCGCAGCAACCTACCGTGGAACCATGATGGATGAAGCACTTGTTTGCATGATCGCCAACTGATAATATAACTCACTCCATCTGATAATTCTATGTAACTAGACGACAGTTATGCCAGGTCCGTTCCGTTACATGGCAACGATCCCACCACAATGTCCAACCTTTTGGAGGTTATTCCACCCCATATCCATAGCTACATTAAAAATCTTCCCCGGAAACTCCCTTGAATATGAAACTGCGATCGAACTTGATTTCTGCGTCGTCTAACCGTGCCCAGCTAAGTATAGCGTCCCATGACATGTGGCCGCTTTCGAGGTCGAAATCTGCGCCGAAGTGGAGGACGTGAGGAAGGTGGCAGGTGCCAGAGATGGCATTGGGAGATAGATGAACATTGTTTTGGGGAGGTGAAATGAATGAACTGGGACAACGAACATGGAGGACGGTGATAGGTCATCTCTGATATTCGGCGTGTTCAGGTCAGGGTCAATCATTCCAAACGAGAGAAATTAAACTTACTAACATCATATATACATATGTGGTACAATAGTGTACCACGCTTAAGAACGTTGTGTTGGTCGGGCTCGGCGCCTCTTCGGCTGGGATAATAATTCATAAGTTTCCTTCAATCTGTGGTACTATCCGTTAACGCTCGTATAATATAAAAACTTTGGGTACGTACGGCTCCACAACTGTACAATAGAACGTTCTCATAATGTCATCTTTTCCGAGCGGATCATTGTCAAAGTCCACTTTGAAGCACCATTCCACAATTTCTTGGTAAATAATACCCATATGAGGCCCAACCTCATCCAGAAGATAATCTGCCAGTGCTTTTTGTCTGTGCGAATTTGCATCCTCCGGATCCCAGCTACACGGCAGCCATTCGTCCTTATTTTGAATCCGCTTGTCGAGAGGTTGGCCTTTTCCGATCTCCCATAAGACTACCCCAAGGTCAAAAATATCAGTTCTGGAATGGCGGAAGACATCAAACGGTAGCCGTTTGTGTGGCGCCTCCTTCCTCTCATCCGGGATGATGAAATGGGAAAAATCGTCAACTCGGATGTTTCTTGAGTTTAGTCGTGAGGTCCAGCTACTGTGCAGTTGAAATACCGAGAGGGATAGCAAGTACGCCAGTTCGAAACGTTTTACGGTAGGGAGATACCCAGTTACGGTAGTCGGGCCGCTGTCCAATATCTGCAATAATGAACGATGGGTCGAATGCGAGATAGATTTGAGTTTGTGGAAACGTCGAGCTGCGGAAGGGGATGCCGGTAGCATGTTCTGAGCGCCAACTGAAGTGCTTGATGACTCGGATTTCTGAAGTTGACCAAAGGTCCAATTTACTAAGGTTTGGGCTTCCTCTCGAACCTCGGTTGCTTGCTCATTCCCATACGTAGCCGCAGCCTCAACTAATATTTGCACAAC